TCAACAGGCCGAATGACCTGCTTCCACACTGTAGGGATTCTATGATTGGAGGCTGTTTGGTCCCTCAATCCTGTTGTGTCATTCAATATTCTCACATCTCATCAGCTGCTTCAACCAATGTCTCGCCATTCCCGTTTTCCCAAAGAAGCCAAACATTTGTTTCTCTCAGCCTTAAACATTTTCAGCAATGAAGCACCCACAATGCACAGGGGTAGAAAATTCCAATGATTCATAGCCAAGTCATATCTGCTTATCTCAGTCCTAAATGATTCACCCTTAAACTGAGACAGTTCTCCTGCGTTCAACACCCTCCAGCCAGGTGTAAAAATCTCTCCGTTACTACTCCATCGAACTTGGTCAGAATCTTGTTTGTTTCCCTGTTATTTCTCATCCTCACAAATTTGTTTCTCTCTTCCGATCCAAGAATATTCCATATGTTTTCCCGATTGGCCTTTCTATATGAGTGTAGGCAGGTTAGTCGTCTGTAAATGACATTGATGGTGGTGTGGTAATATTATTGCTGGTAATCCATTAGCCCAGACTAATGCTTTGCAGATCTGTGTACAAATCCCTCCAGGATTGGCTCAATTTCAATTCAATTAATTAACCAGGAATATAATGGGGACTCATAAAATATCATCAAATGGTATCTACTTCAGTTAAATCCACCAACTTTATGAGATCTGGTCCACATGTGATTCAAGATCCAACATATTTTTATTAATTCATGGAATGTCACTGGTCAAGACAGCAGTTCTTGCCCATCCCTAAGTGCCCAGAGGGCAGTTGACAGTCAATCACATTGCTGTGGGCCTGGAGTCACCAGGTATGGATGCAGTTCTCTTCCCTAAAGGACATTAGCAAACCAGATGGGATTGTTCCTGGCTATCAACAATGGTTTCATGGTCATCACTAGACTTTTAATTTAGATTATTTTTCAGATTTAATTAAAATTTCATCATCTGCCATGACAGGATTCAAACCAGGTCTGCAGCACATTACCTGTGTATCTGGGTTAACAGTCTAACGGTACCAACACTGGGCCATGCCTCCTTTGGAAAGTTGACTCTTCATATTTCCCCTGAAGTGGCTGAATGAGCCACTCAACTCAAGAGCAATTGGGGGCAGGTGACAAATTCTGACCTTGCCAGTGATGCCCACAACCCATGAACTATGCTCAGACCCTTTCCCAGCCTTAACCCTTGACGTAGAGTATACCTCACAGCGCCGGGTTCGATTCCACCCTCGGGCGACTGTCTGTGTGGAGTTTGGACATTCTTCCCGTGTCTGCGTAGGTTTCCTCCGGATGCTCCGGTTTCCTCCCACAGTCCAAAGATGTGCAGGCTAGGTGGATTGGCCATGCTAAATTACCCATAGTGTTCAGGGATGTGTAGATTAGGTGGGTTATATGGGCATGGGTCTGGGTGGGATGCTCTGTGGGTTGGTGTGGACTTGTTGGGCCGAAGGGCCTGTTTTCACACTGTAGGGATTCTATGACTCTATGAAGATCAGGGCCTTTTCATTACTGTGCAAATCACAACGAGGAGACGGGAGGGGATGGGGGTGGGGGATCAGTCATAGATTCATGGAGCTGTGCAGTATAGAAACAGAGCCTTCAGTCCAACTCATCTATGCCGACCAGATATCCTAAACTAATCTACTGCCATTTGCCTGCTAAGCCGCCAAAATTGAGCTCTTCAAAGCAAAAGCATTCTGCTACGAGAGCTAACCTCTGTGCAACAATTTGTGCTACAAAAATGAAAATAAACAAACCTTTCATATCCCGAAAGTTTTTAAGATATCAGAAAACGTACCGTTTGGCAGCAGGCTTGGCTCAGCTAAAGGGCCTACTCTCCCATGTACAAATTATATACTTTGCCCAGTAGCACTTTGCAGTCTTTTGTTTATATAAAAAGAACAGTATAAGCAGTAAAAAAAATTAGGTAAGGCTATCATTTTGTGCTACCATTTTATTTGGTGAGTGCTGTACAAACAGTTTATTAATTAGATGGTAATTCATGTTTTTCACTGGATAAGTGAAATCAGGAAGGGATGTGCTGCACAACGTTAACAGTCCTTGCTTAATCTGGTGAAGAAAACTCCTCTTCAAAGTTTAAAATCCTTCAATACCGTCAAATAAACATCAAAGCATTGCTGTCATGGGGTAACATTTTAAAATTTTTCTTCTATTGCCTTAATTCAGGTGAAGATGGTTATTTATGAGAATTGTTACTGCTGGACGATAAAAGCTTTTATCCCTGTTTTTGTTACCCAGGAAGGATTGTTATTTGTAGCACTCTCTTGTGTGTGCAGCAGAAAACAAAAACATGTTTAGGGTGTATAAATTAGAGGGGGAAAGGTTACACTGAGATAGTGAACTGAGAAGTGGGTGGGAGGAGGTTTGTGAGGGACATACACCATCTGGGACGAAGCAGTCCATTAGATGGGCACCCCAGCTTCAGTAAACTCTCCCTTCACCTTTAACACTCAGTAGCAGCAGCGTGTACCATCTACAAGATACATTGCAGTAACTCATCAGGAATCCTGTTACAGCTCCTTTCAAACCTGTAACCTCTAGTAGGACAAGGCTGGCAGACGAATGGGAAGACCACCACTCATCAAATTCCCCTCTGATCCACACACCATCCTGACCTGAGATGATATCACTGTTCCTTCACTGTTGCTGGATCAAAATCCTGGAACTCCCTCCCTGATTGCCCTGTCCATGCACCTATACCATGTGGTCTGCAGTGTTTCAAGAAGGTAGCTCACTAACACCTTCTCCCAGGAAATTAGGAATGGGCAATAAATGCTGCCCTAGCCAGTGGCACCTACATCCCACATATGAATGAAAAAATATTGACACTATACAAACCTGTTGGGCTGAATGGCCTGCTTCTGTGCTATTCATTTCAAGTAATCCAATGCACTTATGGAAAGGTGAAGGGTGACCAGAGCTTGCTGTCCCTGATAACACTGAGCACTCTCACATGGTCAGAGGATGTTAAGGCATAGCGTAAGACTCTCTCTTGCTCTCCTCAATGACTTACTATACCCAGTCGTAGAGAAACATCCCTCCTGTTGCACCAACATGAGCTCTTCCATCTTCCTATGCCATTTGGTCGTCATAGTCTGCCTGCTGAAAATACCAACACGCACCAAGTTGGGAGGTGGGGGGGAAGAGGAGACCTTGACAGTGGACTGAGCTATTTGGAGTCTGCCTAACCCCATTACACATGGAGCCTTAGAGGGTAGGAGGAGAGCAAGATTTTTTCTTGAATTTGAGCATCACTCGGAGAGGTGAGAACAAGGAACGTTTAACCCAATGCACCCAGCAGCAACCCTTCACCCATTCTTCCACGCTCATTATCTCCAATCTAGTACAGTTGGTGGGATATCACTGTGCCTGAAATGTTAAACAGCCAACTTAGAATGGAAGGGCGTCTTCAAAATGAAAAACAAATGGTAATGATTGAATGAATACCAATGGTGCAATAGATCTGAAGGGTTGAATTGAGGGGAGGTCATTAGACTTGGAGGAGGTAATCAGGGAGGTGAAATCCAGTCCCCTTCATGCCCCAAGACTGAGGGTTTGCCCCTTGCCCCCAACCCCACTGAAACGAAGCATTTTGGACTTGTGGAACACCACTGTGCTGAAAGAAGCAAAACAGATTTACATTTTTAATTGTTTAGATAGCTGAACAAAAAGGGATACTGCATTTGTTACCGTGATCTCTTCCAAAAGGAAAGTTTTTTTTGTTTTTTTTTGTATAGATATATATTTAAAGCAATTCTGTAAATTCAGGTACAACAAATTTACATTTAGTACAGAAACAAAAATAAATGGGGAGGTCTTAATGCCCCCTCCATCAAATGGAGCCACATCCTGAACACCAAATGGATAGCGTCTCATTTCCGCTCAACTCCTGGCAACCACCACCCAAATGTTGGGGGGGGGGGAAGAGAAAGGGGGAACAAAGCAGAAGCCAGTGAGTTGGACTAAAACAGCACAGACTCCTGTGTCCATCCTATCTTGATCCATGGCTTGTGCGGAAAGCATCAACAATTTCCTCGAGACAGAACGAAAAGAAAACACCTTAGCGAAAGCTGTACCAGGGTAGCAACATAATCTGTAAACACATATTTCCGGAAATTAATTTACGTCAACTATATAAGGGCTTCCCATTGTCCAAATGATAGGTTAGACAGATTTGGAAAAAAAATTATTCCGATACAAATTGTTTCATACAATTATCTGGCCTCCAGATTTTGGTACTTGGATGAAATAAGCTCTGGGTTCCAGACCATGATCATCCATGGTGATTATGCAATGCATATTATTCAGCTGGGATCTTACCACCATGGAACCTCATGAGGAGGTGGCCGATGCCAGCTTTGTTTTAGGGTGGTTTGAGGAATGTGCCCGCGCCCATGCGGGAAACCGTCTCTGGAGCCATCATTGCTTCAGCGACTGTCACACTCATCCTCCTGACGATGAGAGGGATGAATCCTTCCAGAAAGGCAATGGTGCGATCCAAGAGTTTTAGGGCTGTTCCCGGGGTTGGGCATGGGGGGTGGGGGGCACAGTTGGCAGTAGGAATGTCAAACAGATGCTTCATTAGAACATGACCTCTGAGCGTTCCCTCCGACTCGTCTCCTGCTGCTTTTGTAGGTAGTCCTTAGCCACATCATCCCCTTGTTATTGATTCATCTCCACTGGGACTGTTATTCCGATGATTTCCAATTATATTCCAATCGTCCGAAACAATAATGCCATCCACCAATCTCCGTGGTCTGCCTAAGCACAGTATTAATCACTTATAATTTTAAAAATTGACTTTTTTTTGTTTTTTTTTCCCTTTTTTTTGGTCCCTACTGGATTGGCAGCAGTGTTAGAAAGTTTTTGCCCTTTTCATTACTGGAGTGGGTGGATCGGAGGGTGGGGTGGGGTCAAGGGTCGGGGGGGGGGTTGGGCTGGGAGTGGGAGGTGGTTAATGGGTTCAACGTACCACCAGGACCAGGGCCGCCAGCAGGGGGAGCCACCTGAGCCTGGGGCAGGGGCAGCTGCCATTCCCGGCCGGCTGCTGGATCCCAGGTGGGGGCTCCAAGTGGGTACGGCGGGTGCACTTCACACGGGGCCTGCGCTTGGGCGGGAACGGGCGAATGGTCTGCGGCCTCTGGCCAGGGTCAGGCAGGTAATCGCTGCCCCATGCCCCATCCGCTGGTTTCTTCGGTGCACCCTCACCCGGGTAGTCCTTGGCCTCGTCGTCCCGCTGGCTACCGCTGCCGTTGCGGCCGGTCGCGGCGTGCTCCGGTCCCGGTGCCAGGCCCCGGGAGGAGTGCCCCGGTGCCAACCCATGATGGGGGTGCTGCTGCCGGGTCCGAATCTGGTTGAGTGATTCCGAGGCCGTGCAGTTCTTGAAGAGCAGGGGAGATAGGACTTTCAAGTCGATCCCTTGTAGATCCCTGGGCGACTCGCAGATGACGCTGCTGCTCGTTCCCCGGAACCTCTGCAGCCATTCCCACAAGGATCGGGATTTGCAGGTACATTCCCAAGGATTTCCATTGAGCCTGAGGTACTGCAGTGATCCGAGCTCTGCCAAGCATTCCCCAGGAAGTGAGCTCAGGCTGTTATTGAACAAGTATAAGATGTCAAGCCTACGCAGATCATGGAAAGCTCGCTTGTTCACCCAATGAATCCGGTTCTGATGGAGCAACAGGCGGTCTAGGTTGACCAGACCTCTGAAGGTGTTCTGGGATAAACTCAACAACTTATTCCCGTGCAGGAAGAGCTGTGTGAGGTTCACCAGCTCCAGAAACAGGTCATCCTGAAGGTACTCTATATGGTTGTCCTGTAGGTAGAGATACTGCAAGTTATGAAGACCTTCAAAGATTCCATTGGGCAGAAATGTCAAGCCACAGCGGTAGAGGTGCAAAGCGTGGAGCTTCTCCAAGCCAGCAAAAGTCTCCGCATCCAGGAATCTCAGGTGCCGATTGTCCCCCAGGTCCAGTTCCTCCAGGAGACTGAATCCATGGAAGGCCTCTGGGTCAATGAAAGTGATGTTGTTGGAATATAACCAAAGGGTGACTGTGGATGGGCTGAAAGCGTTCCTCAACAGAAGGGTTATCCTGTTGTTTTGGAGGAAAATTCTCTCGCTGTTGGCTGGAATTCCTTCTGGGATTGAGGTGAAGCCATGCGACTGGCAAGTGACAGTCATCGGGGAAGGGTAGCACACACAGTGTTTGGGGCAAGAGACTGAAATGTGGAACTCCAATCCAAGCAACATCAGGAACAGCTCGAGGTGACAGCCTGTAAGAGAACAAACATACACTTGTGTTGAGTCACAGTGGTATTCAGATAAAGTCCTGGCTTTGCTTTTAACATTTGAACTGGACAAGAACAAAAAACAACAGAAATTAATTTATTTTATGCTAGCATGATTACAAGCTCTTGTGGTGCAGTGGTAGTGTCCATACCTCTGAGCCAGGAGGCCAGGGTTCAGCTCCCACATGCTCCAGAGGTGCGTTATAACATCTCTGAGCAGGTTGGTTAGAAAATATTGACAACGGCACGACTAATCAAACTGGAAATAAATGGGGTAAGTGTTGATCATAAAACATTACAATTGACTCAGGTCTGAGCTTGTGAACCAGAAATCCACACGGTCCATCAGAAAACACAGTATCCTGGACATTAGTGTTTGTGTGACTGACAGCTCAGTACCTGAATTTGGTCTACAAATGTTGTAAAATATCATTCCTATTGAATAAAATTATAGAGACCATCGAAGCCTAACGAATCCGTTCTATCCTTGGAGGGTTATGCATGGATGGTATGTGCGTGGTGGAATAAATGAATGAATGAACGAACAGATGACTGAGTCATTGCTCTGAGGGTGGAGCCCAGACCTTAGTTTTCAAGCAATTCAGTTTTCCCAAAGCTGGACTTTGAATGATACAGTCAAAATACTGCAGAAGTTGGAAATCTACAGTAAAGATCAGGAAGTAATTGAAATATTTTTCAGCATTTTACAACCTTCTGGACTCAACATTGAGTTCAACTGCAGACCATAATCTTTGTCGCTATGTTTTTACATTTCCTTTGCATATTTCAAGTTTCTTTTCCTTTTGCTTTTAAACAGCGGTGCGCCTGCGTTAGGTACTCTTTCTGTTTCTTTCGCTTGCTCTTTCTTTATCTATTCTTGCCCCATCAACAACTTAGAATCAAACTCAATCTTGGAGGCTTGGGGGGAAGTGAAAGAAACAAATAAGAGAAGCAAATAGAGAGTGTAAGAAGATACCAGCAACTAACATGAAAGGGAGTCCAAAAGTCTTTTAGCAACATAAAAATATCTAAACTGGAGGAATGGAACCAAGAGGAGGCCTAAAAAGGGATGTATGGAGGTAGCAGGCTTCCCCAAAGTATTAAATGAGAAACAAAAACAAAGTGGCTGGAAAAGCCCAGCAGGTCTGGCAGATCTGTAAAGGGAAAAACAGAGTTAACGTTTCGGGTCCAGTGATCCTTCCTCAGAACGGATTCAGAGTTCTGAGGAAGGGTCGCCGGAGCCGAAACGTTAACGCTGTTTTTTTCCTTCACAGATGCTGCCAGACCTGCTGAGCTTTTCCAGCCACTTTGTTTTTGTTCCTGATTTACAGCATCCACAGTTCTTTTGGTTTTTGTTTAGTATTAAATGAGAACTTTGCATCTGTTTTTATCAACGAAGAAGATTCTCCAGATAGTTGAAAACATTGGAAAAGCTAAAAATAGACAAAGAGTAGCCATTAGATAAGTGATAGTTAAAGGTTAAATATCACTAGGACCAGTTAAGATGCATTGAGAGAAATAGGGATAGAAATTGCAGAGATGCTGGCCACAATTTTTTTTTAACAACCTTTGGATACAGGGCTGATGACTGAGGTCTGGAGAATTGCAATTATTACAGCCATATTCAAAGAGATATGTGTTAAGATTAATCACAACATTACAAAACAGATAGTTTAACCTCAACAGTGGGGAAATTTGTAGAATTGATACTAAGTTGATATCTTGGCGGGTTCATCCCATGAGGCCATATGGGAATAAGAAAGGTATAATCACAATAATGGGATTGTATTATAGGCATCCCAATAGCCAGTGGAAGATAGAGGAGCAGATATGAAAGCAATTCATAGAAAGATGTAAAAAGAGTTGTTGTAGTGGGTCATTTTAATGTCCCCAGTATTGACGAGGACTCACTTAGTGCCGGGGGCTTAGATGGGACAGAACTTGTTGGGTGCATCCAGGAAGGTTTCATGAAACAATATGTATACAGTCTAACTAGGGAAGGGACCATACTAGATCTTGTACTGGGGAATGAGCCTGGCCAGGTAATCAAATTTTCAGTGGGGGAGCATTTTGGGAATAGTGATCATAATTCCATAAGTTTTAAGGTAGTTATGGGTAAGGAGAAGACCATTCACTTGGGTGAAAGTGCTAAATTGGGGGAAGGCTAATTACAACAGTATTGGACAGGAACTGGAGAAATTAGATTGGGGGGAGTGGCTATTACAGGGTATATCCACATCTGGCGTGTGGGAGTCTTTTAAAGGCCACTTGATCAGAGTTCAGGACCAGCATATTCCTGTTAAAATGAAAGCTAGAGATGGCAAGATTCGGAACCCCGGATGACAAAAGATATTAAAAGTTTAGTCAAAAAGGAAAAGGAAGCATATGCACGGTTTAAGAAACTGAAATCAGACAAGGCTCTTGTAGAGCATAAAGGAAGCAGGAAAGAACTTACACAAGGAATTAGGAGGGTTAAAAGAACCCATGAAATGTCCTTAGCAAGTGGGATTAAGGAGAATCCCATGGCATTTTATGTATTAGGAGCAGAAAGGTACTTGGGAAAGGATAGGTCCACTCAAGGGCATAGGAAGAGAAATTACCCATGGGACCACAGGAAGTGGGTGAGATCCTGAATGAGTACTTCACATCAGTGTTCACTAAGGAGAGGGATGTGTATGATAAGATCAGGGAGGGGTATGTTGTTATTCTGGGTCATGTTGATATGAAGAAGAAGGGCACATTGGGTGTCTGGATAAGCCTGATGGGATCTACCCCAAGATATGGAGGGAGGCAAGGGAAGAGATCGCTGGGGCCTTAACAGAGACCTTTGTATTCTCTTTAGTCATAAGTGAGGTCCCAGAAGACTGGAGAATAGCCAATGTTGTTCCTTTGTTTAAGAAGGGTAACAGGGTTAATCCAGAAAATTATAAACTGGTGAGCCTTACATCGATGGTAAGGAAATTATTGGAAAGGGTTCATAGGGACAGAATTTACTTACATTTGGAACAGAATGGACTAATTAAGGATAGTGAGCATGGCTTTGCATGGGGCAGCTGTTGTCTCACAAAATTGATTGAGTTTTTTTTGAGAAAGAGACAAAGATGATTGTTGAGGGTAGGGTAGTGGATGTTGTCTACATGGATTTTACTAAAGCATTTGACAAGGTCCTTCATGTTAGAGTGGTCCAGAAGATTAAGTCACATGGGATGTATGGTGAGTTGGTGAGTTGGATACAAAATAGACTTGGTCATGGAAGACAGAGGCTAATTGTCGAGGCATGTTTTTCTGACTCGTGCTCTGTGACCAGTGGTGGTATTCCACAAGGATCAGTGCTGAGACCTCTATCGTTTGTAATGTATATAAATGATTTGGATGAAAATGCAGATGATTTGAAAGTAAGTTTGCGGATGGCTTGAAGATCTGTGGAGTTGTGAGTTGGATAATGAGTAAGGTTGTCAAATGATACAGCTGGATATAGATCAGTTGCAAATTTGGACCAAAAGCAGATGGAGTTTAATTTGCACAAGTGTCATTTTGGGAGGCCAAATGCAAGAGGAAAGTATACAGCAAATGGCAAAAACCTTAGCAATATTGATATACAGAGGGATCTTGGTTGCAAGTCCATAGCTCCCTGAAAGTGGGGACAGAAGTGGATAAGGTAGTAAAGAAGTGTACAGCATGCTTGCATTAATCAGTCAGGGCTTTCAGTATAAAAACAAGCAAGTCATGTTGCTGCTGTATTAAAATTTAGTTTGGACTATTGTGTGCAGTTCTCGTCACTACATTATAGGAAGGATGTGGAGGCTTTGGAGAGGGTGCAAAAGAGGTTTACCAAGATATTAAGTAGACAAACAGGAGGCTGGAAGAACACAGCAGGCCTGGCAGCATCTGGAGGAAAAACCCAAAACATTGACAGCTCCTTTCCTCCAGTTGCTGCCTGGCCTGCTGTATTCTTCCAGCCTCCTGTTTGACTACCTTGGATTCCAGCATCTGCAGGGTTTGTTTTTGTCTTTACCAGGATGTTGTCTGGATTGGAGTGTATTAACTGTAAGGAGAGGTTGGACAAACTTGGATTGTTTTCACTAGAGCATCGGAGGCTGAGGGCAGCCTAACAGAAGTGTATAAAATTATGAGAGGCACGGATAGGGTGGATAAACGGAGTCTTTTTTTCTCAGAGTGGAAATGTTAAATACTAGGGGAGCATAGGTTTAAGGTCAGAGGGGGGAACGTTTAGAGGAAATGTGCAAAGCAAGAGTTTTACACAGAGGGTGGTAGGTGCCTGGAATACACTACCAAGGGAAGTGGTGGAAGCAGAGATGATAGCAACATTTAAGAGGCATTTAGACAAACTTATGAACAGACAGGAAATAGAGGGATGGGGACAATGTGCTTGGGATTAATTTAGAATGGCATCATGGTTGGCACAGACATGGTGGGGTGAAGGGCCTGTTCCTGTGCTGGACTGTTCTATATTCTATGATAATTTGGGACAAAATTAACAATCACTTGGAAAAATGTGATTAATTTATGGAAGTCGGCATGGATTTGTTAAGGAAAACCTATTTGGATGATAAGGAAGCTTGATGAGGTTAATAGAATGGATGTGGTATGCACAAGCATCCAAAAGGCATCTGCAAGGATGTCATTGAACAGCCTTAGCAGCAACGTTTGAGTACAGGGAATAAAGGTGACAGAGCAGCATGGAAATGAACAGTGCTGAATGACAGGAGAGAGAGGGATTTTGAAGGACTGGAGGAGGCTATATGTAATGGTGGGTTGCCTACTGGTTAGTGTTTGGATCTCTGCTTTACTTATTGTATGTTGACGATGGGTGTACAAGACACAATTTCAACACAACACAAAACTTGTATGTATTCAGAACTGTGAGAAGGATAGCGTTAAACTTCAAAAAAGGCATAGACTTGCTGCTGGTAAGGACGGACAAGTGATGGATGAAATTTAACGCTGATGGTGGTGACCTGATCCATTTTGATAGAAAGGATGAGGAAAGACAATATCAAATGAAGGGTACAATTCTAAAGCAGGGGACAGGAGCAGAGAGGCC